CGTTCTTTAATCCATGGTGTAAGGAAGCCACATCCAGCCCCTGCTGCTGCACTCCCTGACAGGTCGGTGGCAAACTGTTTCTACCTGAACACTGCCCTCTAGTGTCAGGAAATAGGACATTGTGCTTCCTGGTTCTCCGGTGGACCGTAGAGCTGCACAACAATAGTTATTTTGTACTTTCGTCATCAATTTGAGAGATCAATGCATGGCAACCGTCACCTAGAAAACTACACTTTAAAATGTTACCTCTATTTTCTTTTTATTATCGTATCTTCCATGTTCAGTGAGCACCTTTTCATATTCTATAACGTAGGAAAGAATTGTATTTTCATGAAACATGCAACTTCCTTTAGCATTACTGAGGTTACATGTGTTTTTATTGCAAGTATTTTTTTTTTACTGTTCTACAATTTGCACTTTTTACTAATACAATATATATATATATTTTGGGTTGTTTTTATAAAAATATATATGTTTTTAATATTTACTGCATATATATTTCACTCTTTTACTTAACTTCTTATTTCTATAAACGACGGGATAAATGACGTTTTCTGATTAAAATGCATATTTTCCTCAAATTGCGGACGAACTCCGTGATGGCTTGAAGGACCATCTATTTATATTCATATATGTTTTGAGAAAGGAGCTGGTAATATACGATAATACGAGACGTGTTTTGTAAATAATTGTTTGGATTAAGTTGAGCATACCATTTTACAAAGGAAATGAAATGGCACCTCTCCTCGATGACCCCAAACATATCTCTAGGTTTCTTGTTCTGACAGCTGTCTGTTATTTGATGTGTGTGTTATATCTGTACTGACCCCCCCCCCCCCCCCTCTCCCCCTCTCCCCCTCTCCCCCTCCCCCTCTCCCCCTCTCCCCCTCCCCCCAGAACCCCATCGGGCGTCTGAACCTGTGTCACTGCACCAGTCAGCGCGTGGACCCGGTGAACAGAGAGTTCTGCGCCCGACCCAACACGTTGGAGCTGATCACTGTTCGGCCGCAGAGAGCAGAGGACCGGGAGACCCTCGTCTCTCAGTGCACCGACACCATGTGTGTCACCAAGTGAGTACTACACTACAAGTACTACGCTCTGAGAGTACTGCAGTACAAGTACACAGTGTGGGGGAACACCATGTGTGTCACCAAGTGAGTACTACACTACAAGTACTACGCTCTGAGAGTACTGCAGTACAAGTACACAGTGTGGGGGAACACCATGCGTGTCACCAAGTGAGTACTACACTACAGGTACTACGCTCTGAGAGTACTGCAGTACAAGTACACCGTGTGGGGGAACACCATGTGTGTCACCAAGTGAGTACTACACTACAAGTACTACGCTCTGAGAGTACTGCAGTACAAGTACACCGTGTGGGGGAACACCATGTGTGTCACCAAGTGAGTACTACACTACAAGTACTACGCTCTGAGAGTACTGCAGTACAAGTACACCGTGTGGGGGAACACCATGTGTGTCACCAAGTGAGTACTACACTACAAGTACTACGCTCTGAGAGTACTGCAGTACAAGTACACCGTGTGGGGGAACACCATGTGTGTCACCAAGTGAGTACTACACTACAAGTACTACGCTCTGAGAGTACTGCAGTACAAGTACACTGTGTGGGGGAACACCATGTGTGTCACCAAGTGAGTACTACACTACAAGTACTACGCTCTGAGAGTACTGCAGTACAAGTACACTGTGTGGGGGAACACCATGTGTGTCACCAAGTGAGTACTACACTACAAGAGTACTGCAGTACAAGTACACTGTGTGGGGGAACACCATGTGTGTCACCAAGTGAGTACTGTACTACGCTCTGAGAGTTCTGCAGTACAAGTACACAGTGTAGGGGAACACCATGTGTGTCACCAAGTGAGTACTACACTAGAGGTACTACGCTCTGAAAGTACTGCAGTACAAGTACACAGTGTGGGGGAACACCATGTGTGTCACCAAGTGAGTACTACACTACAGGTACTACGCTCTGAGAGTACTGCAGTACAAGTACACAGTGTGGGGGAACACCATGTGTGTCTCCAAGTGAGTACTACACTAGAGGTACTACGCTCTGAGAGTTCTGCAGTACAAGTACACAGTGTGGGGGAACACCATGTGTGTCACCAAGTGAGTACTACACTACAGGTACTACGCTCTGAGAGTACTGCAGTACAAGTACACAGTAACACTAAGCACGAAGATCAGGTTCTTGTCCGTGTATGTACAGTGGTGGAAGAAGTAATCTGAGCCTTTAAAGTAAAAGTAGAAATACTTTGGTCTTAAAATACTTAATTATGAGGAAAGTTCTAAAATTGAGTTCAATGTTTGGGTTTCGTTCCGTTTGTTTTAAGAAAATAGATAAAATAAAAGAGAAATTATATATTTTTTAAATATATTAAACTCTTTTCTCAGTTTATTTTGAGTTTTTATTCAGCTTTTGTCTCTAACATTTACATTGAAAGAGCATTTTTTTGTCAAAGTTGAGACAATCTAAGTTACTTTTTAGAATACTGGGTACATAAGAGGTGGCGTCATGTGTTTCTCTGTTATAGTAGCTTGGAGAGATGAGTTTTAAATAAATGGAAAGGAGTAAAAAGTATTTGCTTCAAAGTGTAGTGGGTTACATGTATAGAATAAAATGTAAATTATATCAAAATAGTTCTAATATAAATGTACTTTGTGACATTTCACCACTGCATTTCATATATATATATATATATATATACATGTTTTAATCCTCTTCAGAGTACATTGGGTTTTTGCTCGAAAGAAATCATTAAAAAAAGAAATAAAAATGTATAATTGGAAGTTAGAACTTAAAATGCGAATGTGCATTAATATAATAAATACATATAATAAATATTCAGGTATTTTACCATGGAACCTTTATGTATGTGTGTATAAATAGTATATGTGTGTGCAGGAACTGGCTGAGTGCGGACACGAAGGACGAGAGGAGCCTTTGGATGAGCAAACTGAACCAGATTCTGGTGGATCTGAGGGTGTGGCAGCCGGACGCCTGCTACCGGCCGCAGTGAAGCCCAAAAACACCTGTTGGACTCTAAATATCCCGTTCATTATACGTGCAATACACTATACACACTTCCACTTATCTTCCAGGAGATAAGTCACTGAACACCTGAGGTCAGAGGGAACGTAAGCCATTCAAACACACGTCAGTATTCAGCACTATTCTTTAAGCATTTCCACATGATGTTTCTGGGTGTGTTTTTATATTAATGCCAATATCTAGTGTTGTTGCCCGGCTTTGAATGTTTTGGTTTCACGGCTGGAATCAAGTATATAAATGGTGTTTGAATTACAGATGAATATTGAGGTTTTTATATCACGTTGTATCCTGCATGACGGCACAGTACTGATGCTCCCGTGAGTTTGACTTTTATATATATATATTAGCTTTTATGAATCGTTCACATGTCTCTCTTTATTCTCACGCACAGATGTTTTGATAGCAGTTATAGCGGCGTTTTTATTCTACGTGTGCATGTGTTCAGTGTGGGATAACTGCGGGAAGAGTCTGTTACATATTCAACACCTCATTTGATCTAAATGCATCACTAACATGTCGATACAGTTCCCATTTCAGATGGAAAAACCTGTATATTTTACAGTTTGATCATAATATCATCTTATTTTTAATTAAAGAGGAGATATTGTGGACTTTTCAGGTTCATGTCATGTCTCCACAGTCTGCTCTGATTGGTCAGCAGCTTAGAGATGTCCCGCCCCTGTTTTTTAATAGTTTACATTTGTATTTGCTGCAAACAGATTTTAAAGTGGTATTTCAGGCTCAGGTACCCTGTAAATGTTGTCCGATGTATTTATTGTTAGAGATTGTTTTACTTAATTGCTCGTTAATATCTGGAGTTCTGCAGCAGCTGGTGAATTTAGACTTTACCATACACCTGTGTTTTTTTACGTAACAGACTTCATTGACCCTGCTGTGTTGGTAAATGTATTTTAATATTGTAAAAGAAGCTTTTCTCAGCGGTTGATAATGGACTACAAACAGATGCATTGTGGGTGCATGAGTTTTCATCATGGAGAGCACTTCTTCACTTTGTTGGGTATTTGTGTTTATATCAGACTTCAATAAATAACCTGATTTATTTCCCCAAAGTGGATCAGGTTAACTTCCCGTTGTCCTTTTATTGAGTGGCCAAGAAATATCATTTACTAACATTATTATTTATTAAACCAGCTCGAGTGCGCTAGAATTTAAAAATACACAACCGGAAATAATCTGCCACTTCCTCACAGAGCCCCTCCTCCAACACACACGAACGCGCACATGACCAATGAGGGCACGAGATCAGTGTGTGCCCAGATGGGAGGCTGACAGGCAGGTAGGCCATCCAGTTACTTTAGCCGGCTCAGGTGATTGGTCGAGCTTTTTACAGCGCCACGGTTTCACTGATGACATGTTTTTATGGACTTCTTGTCAAAGCACTTCAGATATTCATTGCTATCGGGATGTTAAGAGCATTCCATGGAATATAACAAAAAGTGTATCTCGAGCCGGTTTCTCAAACTTATTTATGGATTATAATCTTTATATGTAATAGTCCCAGGGGAGGTGTTCCTGCATGGAGTCATTTTATTATGAGAATATTACCCTATGTGTATTTACCACAGTGTGTTATTAAGACTAAATAATTAACATGTATTTGAATGAGGTCCCTAGCTGATGCAACAACACTTCACGGGTTAAGTTTATTGAACGTCTCTTCCGCCTCTTCTGTTCACCGAGCCTTCAAAATAAAACGCCATGTTAGAAGTACTCAGATCTTGTACTTGAGTAGAAGTACTCGGATATTGTACTTGAGCAAAACTGGAAGTACTCAGATATTGTACTTCATTAAAAGTAGAAGTACTCAGATCTTGTACTTTAGTAGAAGTACTCAGATCGTGTACTTCACAGGATGTGTGAGTCTGTCCTGTTTTCCCCTCTGTTGGTGCTCTAACTCCTCCGCTCTTATTTTGAAGGAGCGATCTATAGTTCCGGTAACGTTTAGATATAAACTGTCACTGAGTCAGTTGCATCAGAACATAACCATCACTGCCTTCATCAAGTCTACGGAAATCAGTTAAAAACAAGGTAAGTGGATTAGTCTTAATTAATGTGTGTGTTTTTATTTTAAACTGGTTTTAGTTACTCAAGTATTCTGTTAAAACAAACTGCTCCCTAACTTTCTGTAATAGCTCATTAATAAAAGGTATGAACACATTTAGAGCACAACCATTAACCAATTCTTAATTACTATTGTGTATTTACATGTTCGGCTTACACGTGAACCACTAAGCATCATTTAAAATGAGAGAAACCCTAGCAGGAATCACTCGCGTGCAATCTCCGCCCGCCATGTGGTAAACGAATACAATTATTTGACATTTAAATGTTAATAAGTGAAGGGTTTTTTTCTGCCGAATTAATAAATGTGTTTATTAATTGGAGTTTGGTAACCATGTTGTTAGATGTTTATTTCTTTCGTTAGAACTAATACAATCTTAAAAAGGTCGGATTTTGAAGGTTTGGTTTAAGGTGCTCTGGATAGCGAACATTTATTGTAAAGTAGGTGGAAGGAAAATTAACCTATTTAGTATTAAATGGTAAAAAGTTAAGATTTTCTCTCTGCCGAATTGATACATATTTATTATTTAATGAGAGATCGATAACTACGTTGTTGGATGTGTATTTATTTCGTTATTGCTGATGCAATCTCAAAAAAGGTGGGGTTTACAGCTCACATTTATTGTACAGTAGGAGGAAGAAAAGGAATCCAACTAACATTATTTTATATATCATTTATATTTTCTCTGTGCCGAATTGAAAAACACAATGTATTATTTAATGAGAGATCGATAACCATGTTTTTAGATGTTTATTTATTTCGTTATAGTTGATGCAATCTTAAAAAGGTGGGATTTTGAATCGAGTTTGGTGTAAGGTGCTCTGGACACATTTATTGTATCGTAAGCTGAATGATTGTCACAGGTGGCACTTTTTTTGCTGCAGTAGCTATATGACAGCACGGTCATACTTTTAATCCTCCCGTTTTCACTGCCCTCTCCCGGTTTCCTCCCGGGCTCATATTTCTCCCGATTTCTGACAAAATCAGATTTACTCGAACTGTTTCCACTCGGACTTTAATACAGCTACACCATTGTTTGGTTTTCCATGGTAGCGCGTCTCTTTAGTAGCGCGCGCAACTGAAAGTCTGAGAGGGTGAGGAGTCACAGAAAACAGAACAAGAATGGACAACTCTACCCTCTGCTCACTCCTTTCCTGTAAAACACAGGTCCAGCCCACATATGCTCCATGGTGGTGCTACAGGCTGCAAGGCAGTGCACTTACAACTACAATAAGCATGTTAATGTTGATCTAATACAGCTCCGGCGATCCACTAACCTCATCACCACACACACACACACACACACACACACACACACACACACACACACACACACACACACACACACACACACACACACACACACACACACACACACACACACACACACACACACACACACACACACACACACACACGGATAGCAGGGTGGACCGGTTGGAGATCGCGGTCGTTTATGCTGACTTGTGAGAAATCTTTCCATTTTCGATCTGTGTTCACATAGGCAAGGCAAGTTTATTTATATAGCACCTTTCAACACAAGACAATTCAAAGTGCTTTAAAAAAAATATGAAAGACATTAAGAAAATGGCATTTAAAATTAGTCATTAAAAAGAAAATAAAAGAAACATTAAAAGAAAAAATACATGGATAAAAGTTACAGTGCAGTTTAAGATGTGAATAGTTCAATTAAAAGCAGCGACAAAAAGAAAAGTCTTCAGCCTGGATTTAAAAGTAGTCAGAGTTGCAGCGGACCTGCAGGTTTCCATACTGAGAATTCTAACAACATTAGCCAAGTAACAGTTTGTGCTTTAACTTACAACGACCCCGCAGAATGTGTGTGTGTGTGTGTATATACAAAACAATGGGGTTGCTAGGCCAAAGCTACCCCCTGGCCCCTGGGTGGCAGTCAGTCTGGCTCCACCAGAAAAAACACAAACGAGAAATGTTTCATTCTAAAACCACAAAACATTTCAAGAAACTAAAACATCTTTAACATTTAACTAAACACTTAAACATCTGAAAAAACACCAAAAGCTTTCAAAAAACATATTTACAAATTTTTTTTAATATAAAATTACATTAAAGAAACTTCACTGTTTTATATATTTTTTTAAATGTTTAGATTATACGTATGTTTCTCCTCACTAATAGACCCTCTTCAAATCCTTTTAGCTGCAACCATTATTTTATCGCTTTCATGAATTGTCTTTTTGTGTGTTTGTTTTGTTTGTCTTAATGTTAGATGTGTGGGATCTGGGCTTTAATCTGCTCACTAACAGACCTTCTCTTCCTGTTGTCCCTCCCCAGCAGAGATGTGTGGTATCTGGGCTTTAATCTGCTCACTAACAGACCTTCTCTTCCTGTTGTCCCCTCCCCAGCAGAGATGTGTGGTATCTGGGCTTTAATCTGCTCACTAACAGACCTTCTCTTCCTGTTGTCCCTCCCCAGCAGAGATGTGTGGTATCTGGGCTTTAATCTGCTCACTAACAGACCCTCTCTTCCTGTTGTCCCTCCCCAGCAGAGATGTGTGGTATCTGGGCTTTAATCTGCTCACTAACAGACCCTCTCTTCCTGTTGTCCCTCCCCAGCAGAGATGTGTGGTATCTGGGCTTTAATCTGCTCACTAACAGACCTTCTCTTCCTGTTGTCCCTCCCCAGCAGAGATGTGTGGTATCTGGGCTTTAATATGCTCACTAACAGACCCTCTCTTCCTGTTGTCCCTCCCCAGCAGAGATGTGTGGTATCTGGGCTTTAATCTGCTCACTAACAGACCTTCTCTTCCTGTTGTCCCTCCCCAGCAGAGATGTGTGGTATCTGGGCTTTAATATGCTCACTAACAGACCCTCTCTTCCTGTTGTCCCTCCCCAGCAGAGATGTGTGGTATCTGGGCTTTAATCTGCTCACTAACAGACCCTCTCTTCCTGTTGTCCCTCCCCAGCAGAGATGTGTGGTATCTGGTCTTTAATCTGCTCACTAACAGACCCTCTCTTCCTGTTGTCCCTCCCCAGCAGAGATGTGTGGTATCTGGTCTTTAATCTGCTCACTAACAGACCCTCTCTTCCTGTTGTCCCTCCCCAGCAGAGATGTGTGGGATCTGGGCTTTAATCTGCTCACTAACAGACCCTCTCTTCCTGTTGTCCCTCCCCAGCAGAGATGTGTGGTATCTGGGCTTTAATCTGCTCACTAACAGACCCTCTCTTCCTGTTGTCCCTCCCCAGCAGAGATGTGTGGTATCTGGGCGTTGTTCGGCAGCGATGAGTGCCTCTCGGTGCAGGTCACCAGCGCCATGAGGATCGCTCACCGCGGCCCCGACGCTTTCCGTTTCGAGAACGTTAACGGCTTCACAAACTGCTGCTTCGGGTTCCACCGGCTGGCCGTGATGGACCAGCTGTACGGCATGCAGCCGCTGCGCATCAAGAAGTTCCCCTTCCTGTGGCTGTGCTACAACGGAGAGATCTACAACCACCTCGCGGTCAGTATAAAGTGAACAGGGATTTATACGGCAGCTGTCAGACGGAGCAACACATAGTAAACACGGATAATACACACACTATAAAGTATTAAAACATGCATCAAGAGGTTCCCCTTCCTGTGGCTGTGCTACAACGGGGAGATATTGACAGAGATATCGGTATGCATGCAAAGGTGATATAAATCTGGGTCCATGTGTCCCTGCAGCTGAATAAGAAGTTTGGCTTCAAGCCCCAGATGGCGGTGGACGGGGAGGTTCTGCTGCACCTGTACGACCGCTTTGGGATCAAGAAGATGGCGGCGCTGCTGGACGGCGTGTTCGCCTTCATCCTGCTGGACACCGAGAAGAAGAAGGTGTTCGTGGGGAGAGACACGTACGGAGTGAGGCCGCTCTTCAAACTGAGCACAGACGACGGGTTCCTGGCTCTCTGCTCAGAGGCCAAAGGTACCGTGGGTCTGGGGCCTTTCTTTGTATTTATTGATGTAACGCGGTCAGTGTGTCATTAATACACATGTCTGTAAATGTGCCAAGAGGCTGTTTTTTCATCTGTAGTCCCCGGACAGTACGTCACCCTAAAAACACATTTTATTAAGTAAATACAATCAGTAAAAACATTGCAACATAAAGGCTTACAGTACTGGGAATGCTAATAAAGATAAATCATACGTATGACATAGCAAGGAGACAGCAACCGGTTAAAGACACTCAGAGGGTTTTACATTGCAGTCGATCATGACAGAGTGAAATGAGATTTAAATAAACTGAATGTGTTTTTGTTTTCTGATTATCGCTGGGATTGAGCTCCTGCACCGGGTAACAGGGGCGCTGCCCTCAAACCAAAATGCAGATGTCCCCCGTAAAATGTTAAAGTGATCAGAAAACAATATCTCTGTTCCTCAGAGACAATAGAGGCTTCTCAATACTCAAATTTCCCCTCCTCGGCTCCCCTCCTCGGTTCCCCTCCTCGAGACTTAGACCCGCCCACAGGAGATGCGAGCGGAGGACCGAGGAGGGGAACCGAGGAGAGAGGAGGGGAAGCAGCAGACGTTTAAAGAAATGAGAACTCCTCTCCTCTGAGCGGTCATTTTAAAGAGACGTCCGTTCATTATTACGTGGCAACAGCTGCATCAGCTGTCGAGTGTTTTGTCATAGCGCTGTATCTCTGTTAGATCAGCTGAACATTGTTCCCCCACATCTTTACTTTGAATTCATTGAGAGTGCGGTATAATGAGACAATAACAGGCACAGATGCGGACACACACACACACATATATTTATATAAATATATACAATTTAAAGTATGAGAGCACTCTCATAACGTAACACAATCAGAGACTGGATATATCCCCCCCCCCCCCCCCCCCCTCCTCTGGTCGCTGAAATGGGAATTGAAATTACGAGCCAAAAGTTGTATTTACAAGTTAGGCCTATTAAAAGTAAGCAGAGGACACCAAACCAACTGAGACCCGTCTGTCCGCCGCATTTACGCACTGTACCAACACACACCCACACACTGTACCCACACAACACCCTACACACTGTACAACACACACCTACACACTGTACCACACACACCTACACACTGTACCACACACACCTACACACTGTACCACACACACCTACACACTGTACCACACACACACCTACACACTGTACCACACACACCTACACACTGTACCACACACACACCTACACACTGTACACACACACCTACACACTGTACACACACACACCTACACACTGTACCACACACACCTACACACTGTACCACACACACCTACACACTGTACACACACACCTACACACTGTACACACACACCTACACACTGTACCACACACACCTACACACTGTACCACACACACCTACACACTGTACCAACACACACCTACACACTGTACCACACACACCTACACACTGTACCACACACACCTACACACTGTACACACACACCTACACACTGTACCACACACACCTACACACTGTACCACACACACCTACACACTGTACCACACACACACCTACACACTGTACCACACACACCTACACACTGTACACACACACCTACACACTGTACCACACACACCTACACACTGTACCACACACCCTACACACTGTACACACCACCTACACACTGTACCACACACACCTACACACTGTACCACACACACCTACACACTGTACCACACACACCTACACACTGTACACACACACCTACACACTGTACCACACACACCTACACACTGTACCACACACCTACACACTGTACAACACAC